CTCATCACACCCTTACCCTCACCCCTATCATACACAACTTGGAGCCGTATTGCAAGAAGCATGGATGTTGTTCCTTCCTTCCACACATATGAGTCTTGTCCATTCACATTAGGATGTATGCTGCTGCCTCACAGCTCAAACTAGCCTCTCTCTCTCTCTCTCTCTCTCTCTCTCTCTCTCTCTCTCTCTCTCTCTCTCTCTCTCTCTTCGTCTCTAGCTATTGTTCCCGCTCTCTCTCCGTCTTTCTCTCTCTCTCTCTCTCTCTCTCTCTCTCTCTCTCTCTCTCTCTCTCTTTCTCTTCTCTCTCTCTCTCTCTCTCTCTCTTTTCGCCTCGCCGTGGCATCTACGTTCTCCTCCCACGCCCCTCTCCTGTATCGAGATCCCTTTTTTGTGGAAAGGCTCATCTCTCCTGTATCAAGATCCCAGAGTACGGCTTTCTCTTTCTTTTTTCTTTTTGAGAGAGCATGGCTTTCTCAGAACAGTCAAAAAAACAAAAACACATTAAAAAAAAAAAAAAAGCATTCCTTCAGTCCGGAACGAGGAGGAGCCAGGTGCACGTGGCAGTTGTATGCACCATCGCCTTGGTCACACCAGCACACACACACTTCGCTTTTATTAAAAAAAAAAAAAAAAGACGTGATATTCAGGTCTTTTGGCAAATGCCATGTGGGCACACCTTTTCAGTCCCATCGAGATATCTTCTCCTTTTTCTCTTCTTCCTTATCAAGATCTCTCTTTCTCGTCCGCGTCCTTCTCAGTGCTATCGGTCTGTCGATCTATCGCTTACCACGTTTCCTCCCGTCGATTTTTTCAGGCTTTTTTTTTGGTCCCCTTTTCCACTAACGAACAAACTAATATGTGTGTACAACAACAAAAAGCAAAACACCCGTGTTGCCTGACGCGTTCGTCGACCCACGTTAGCAAGGAAGTTAACAATTTTTTTTTTTTTTTTTTTCTAGTTAACCAATGTAGCAAGACTGGTTATCCATTTTTGACAAGCAGGAGATGTTGAGCCCCACACGTGTCCCTTCTTCCAGGCGGAAAACAAGGAGGGTACTAAAAAAGGTTTTTGCTTCTTTTTTTTGTTTTGTTTTTTTACAGTGGTGCTAACGCTACTGCAAGGAGGCTAACAAAGACAGATTTTGAAAGCAAAACAAAAAAGAAACGAATCTTCTACCGCGAGGCTGAGGCAAGGAGGACTGCCTCCTGAGGATGACCGTAGCGCA